GTTTTTTTTTTTTTTTACCCAGTCATTTAAAAATAACACATTTTAGAGCTGTAACGACAATACCGTGAAACCGTGATATTTTTGCTTAAGGTTATCATACCGTCAAAATCTCATACCGGCCCATGCCTACCCAGTAACTTTGTTTTGGTAAGCCTTTTTTTGAGAAAACGAGCGCATCTGATTTCGCTCCCTTGGTGATGTGGCAAAGGGATCTCATTATAATATTACCGCCCCTTAATCTGTAAATTTGCACCCACGGCGCCATCATTTTGATTTCACAAGCGACAACGGTGTACCAGCTCTAATGCCATGGCGAAAGTTTGAGCAAAACATGCTAACTGTTCTGTCATTGGCTGCACAGATAATTTTATAAAATAATTCATAATTTAATGAGATAATAATTTAGATGAGCACAGAAGACTATTTAGAGTCCCAGCCTCAGAGGAGACGAGAGAGCAGTGGATTTATTGATTTATTTACTGTATATTGCTGCTGCCACACAGATCTAATATACACATGCGATTTATTTCCCCGCTGTTTATCTTCACAGACATAATCGACTGTTTTTGTTACTCATGTGTGTTTTTAACGTAAACTCGTGTGTGAATGAGAACTTAGTTTAGTACTCGCATGCTGTGACAGCCGCTTTCTGTCCTATATATTGTAAAAAGGGGCATAATATGTCTCCTTTAAATCTGCGTTCACGCTGCCGCAGCTGTCATGTATGAGTGAAACGGCTTCACAGTCTTTTCAGCCACACAGTATCATTATTTCTGTGTTACAAACATTTAAATAATCACAGAAGTACTGTGATAAAAGTTTATAGTTCAGATATAAACTGTGTGTGTACGATGTGTATGGTAGCGATTAAAATAGAGTAAATCACCTTTTGAAAGTAATTTGACACTTTAAATAAAGATTTATCGATTACATTGTTACGCCAGTAGGTGGCGAAAAGGGGCTGTTAAAATGTATTTGTCTTTGAATCATACAAGAGATTTGTTCAAAAACACTGATTCATCCAGTAATGTAACAAGTACATCTTTGTTTACTTTAGTTGTCTAATTGTTTTTTTCTTCCATTTAAAAAAAAAATAATAATAATAATAATTAAAAAAAAACTTCCATTTAAAAAAAAAAAAATATCCAGAATAATGCAGCTCTATTTTGCACACAAACAGTTCTTAAACGAGTCCAGTTTTTATATTGCCTGTTGATTTTTGTTCATGGTAATCAGCTGCAACTAAATGGTTTGCAAAAATAGACAGAATAAATATGTTTAATATCATTTTTTAATCACATTGGAATCGGAATCAGAATTTATCAAATTCAAACGATGCCCAACCCTAATAACGATATAATTAATACTACTATTACTACTACTAATAATAACAAAAACAAATGTAATGAAGTATTATTATTATTATTTATTTTATTATTTGGAAATTTATTTAATTGCTCAATGAAATAAGATAAATTCATTGGCAATGAATAATTATCCAATCAGTTCCTTTTGGGTTGAGGCAATTTAATTATTTTCAATGTAATTATTCAAATATATAATTCATTTCAGTTCAGTTAATCTATTTAGTTACTCAACAACTAATCGATAAAGATTAACATTAATAACTGAATGAAGGATGGAATAAATTATTGACATTATTATAATACATAATTTATATAATATAATTATTTCATTATATACAGTACATGATAAAAAAAAAAATATTTTATTTACCTTTATTTATATATAAATATACAAGTGTTTATGTAAATTTGTGTGTCTCTAAGTATAATATACTTATAAAAAAGACAGTAATAATATATATATATATATAATATATATATTTCTACATTTTTATAACAGCTCAGCTTTAATTAAATTTGTACTTTTTTCTTACTTGTTTTTAAATAGTTTTAAAGGTAACAATTTTCAGTAAAACTTGGTTACTGTGAAGTCATTGAGTTTATGCATGTCATCCTGACCGATCTGTGAATAATTACCTTTAATGAACTTTTCTACCGTATTTAAAGGGGTCATATGATGCTTTTTTAAAGATCATTATTTTGTGTATTTGGTGTAACAGAATATGTTGACATGCTTTAATGTTCAAAAAACACATTATTTTTCAAATACTGTACATTATTGTAGGTCCTCTATGCCCCGCCTCTCTCAAACGCTTCGTTTTCTACAAAGTCCCTCCTTCCGACAAGCGCAGTCTGCTCTGATTGGCCAGCTGACCCAGTGCATTGTGATTGGCCGAACACCGCAAGCACTCGTCGGAAATGTAACGCCCCTTACCATAATCGCGAGCTTCATCTTTCAAAATAGGTTTGTGCTGTTCTGTTGTAAATAAATCTTAACTAACGATTCCTCATTGCATCTACTGTCAAGAGGCCAAATAAAGTGCTTTTGCTTTCGCAGAGAAACACAGCGTCTCCCTGACATGCTGCTTCAACATTAACTGCGGTTACTGAAACCACACCTTCTTTCTTTGTGTGAACATTTGGGCGCATTATGCAAATATTCCCACATAGTGACCTAGATATGTGGGGGCGTGTTAGAACGAGCCGTTTTAGGGGGGTGTGGCAGAGTCTTAACTTTGATAAAGAATATCTCTTTGGTTTTGAGACTTCAGTCTTTGCAACTTTACAGATCTTCTTTATACACCAAGAGCTTGTAACACTCCAAAGAGAAAGGAAAACTTGAAATCGCATCATATGACCCCTTTAACTGAAACCCCTGTTTTCAGACTTGTGTAGATCTTAATTCAGTGGCGTTAGGAGTGAAATGAATGTGCAGGAAGCTGCTGTTAATTGCAGTAGGTTTGTCTCAGGAGCTTCATTCAGATGCCCAGCGGATCCATGAATAACGGATGATATCAGTCCCTCATTAACCAGCTTTAATCAGAGACGCCTCTCTCTTGTCTGCTCATTTGTGCTCCTGGAGCCGGTGATTAAAGTCATTAGGTTTGAACTAGGGATGTCAATTTTCGATCATTTCCATGATTGATCGTTGTTTAAATTAATGATCAATTAATCGATTAATCGTTAACCTTAATGCTGCAAAATGCATCTATGCAGCCCGGCATGACAGGATGTGCAAAAGTTACTCAAAAAAAATAAAACAAATAAACGCTTTCTCACCCGATTTAAAGGGGATTTAGTCTGAATAAAATGCTAGTAGCAGGATTGTAAAATGAATAGATGTGATTATGATCATTTGATAAAATGAAGAGAGCTCGTTTGAGAATTTTAATTTGTTGATTGTTTCCTATCCCGACACGGAGACCGCTGAACACGCCTCTTTAAATGGTTTCGTGGTGCTCGTTATTGTATTTTAAAACACTATTGCAATGTTTTCAACTGACATTATGGCATTTAAAATAAAATGATCCCAAACGTAACTGTGGCGCGTGTGGCTGTGCTGCGCAGTCAGTGAACCGCTTCCATCAGCGCTGCTGCAGCAAAACACACTGTTGCTAACATCAAACATTTTTATGTGAGTATTATGACTAGTACTTAATTTGATCCTGCTGGATCCTGTTCCGGAAAATGTCAGATTTTGAATTTTTGCGTTCCGGTAGGCCTATTTGTTTTAAAAAATCCGGCATTTACAGTGCATTAGATCGTGAGCGCAGGTTTAGTTAGATGTATTTGGAGGTTATTGCTCACGTACCTCTCTCATTCGGCACAAATCCAAATGTTTCCATAGTTGCAATGTATTTGAATGTTAAACTATTATTTATAATGTTAACTAGGCTTGTACTTTACACGCATTCGCATGTAGACGGAAAAGATTATCCTCTTCACATGAGCAAAAATGTCCTTGTCATTACAGCAGAGTGGACCGGTATACTACGGTCTATTTAAGTGTTGTTTCTATTTTAATGTACTTTTAAAGTTTAAATCACATGAAAAGCTTAATTTGTAATTATGAGTGAATTGATGATGCATTTATATACCGTCACCGTCACTCGCAGCCGCTCGCACGTGTTTTGCGCATGAGCCGCACGCAGCCCAAAATTAAATGGCTTAATCGACCATCAATAGCTTTAATAGATTGCATCTCTTATCGACAATTAATCGATAATCGATTAATCGTTGACATCCCTAGTTTGAACCTGGCATGAGTGGAGAGAGAATGGAAATGGAGGTGATGATGAGCGTGAGCTGCTGTGTCTCTCTGTGTTGCTGTAGTTTTGGGGAAGGTCCGCAGTGCTGTCGGCAGCGCTCAGCTCTTGATGTCTCAAAAGTTCCAGCAGTTTCTGGGTCTCTGTGAGCAGAACCTGGTGAGTGTCTCTATAACACCCACTTCACTCACAGGGTCACATACAGTCAGTGCTGATTTCATGTCCACGCCGTATTTCACCCCAAAATCAAGGGGCAGTGCCACTCAATTACTGTAATGCCCCCAAATGTTTTGCTTTTGAGTTTGTTTTTGTTTTTAATTAACAATAACATTTTTAAAGTGTTTCTGATTGTTTTAATGTAGTGTATATATTTTTTTGTAATTAAAACAATACAGTTGTTAATTTTTTATCTATCTCTCTCTCTCTCTCTCTCTCTCTCTCTCTCTCTCTCTC